AAAAAAAACTAACTATAGGACCTCTTATATCTCAGTATGCTTGGAAAAGTACGGGCATAGTGAGGTAGAAGCAAAAGTAAAAATTGGGAAGCGGAGGTTTGTTTGGAGGTTTTTAGCCGCTTAGCATTGAAAACCGAGGATTACGTAGAAATATGCATGAAAATGTTTCACAGGAAGTATTTGCGTACACCTCCATTGTGTTGTTGCCACTGTGGCTGAATTCAGAAGGCGCAATTCATCCACGTTGCTTTTGCGGGACTTCCAGAACACGGGAACGGGAATTTTGGGAGCTCTAAGCGGTTTTAAGCCCCTACAGTGTTAGACAGGATCCGATAAGCTTGTAGAATGCAAAAATCTCGGCAATCAAATCTCGTGAGACACTGTCTGTGGTACTTGTGTTTTTACGAGGCTAGTCTGGGATCCACTGTATGTACAGATGGGATAGCGCCAATACGGTGGCTCCAAAGTGGAACTCTTGATTACTTGGTATGCTCCCTCTTATATCGAAGATTTGAGTATTTGATCATTCAACAGTGATTTTCATAAGGTTCAGCCTTTATCTAAGTTTTGTATGATTTCAGCGAATTCGCATCGATGAAGATCTCGCTGCAGCCCTTGCGTCCAATAGTGAGTTACGCTCCAAGCTAGACGATGCTGTACAAGAAGCCGTTGCTCTTAAGGAGCAACAGACTGCCACTGACGTGTTCTCTTTGGAGTTGAAGGATTATGAGAAAAAGGTAGATTACAGCTTTCCATCATAATGTTTTTGAGATGTAGGCAGGAAGGCGACAAAACCTGACAGAAGCGGGCGAATGGGCGACACCAACACATTCCTATTGTTCAACGCTGAGCTCTGGTCAATTAATCCAGACTGGCGCGCTTTCGGTATCAGGGTGGCGTCCGCTAGTGACGAGGCGTTACCCATCTAAAAAGTTTGTTGGGTTACATTCTTGATCAGGTAGATATAACTTTTCGGCACGCAAAGGGGAACGTTGCGAAATTCAAACATGTCTAGCTTGTAAACAGTTCATAATAGCGTAGCTGCCTTTTTCCACGCAAGTGTTGAGGCGATTTCGTTTTCACTCATTGTTTATATACTTATGAAACATGTTCCCACTCTCCTGAATGAGAGGTGGAACAAGAATAATATGTATATGTCTGAAGTCAACTCTCGCACAGATGGTTTAGAGCTAAACTGAACTTCGTTTTTGAGGTAAAAAGCAAAGGTGATATCGTTTTTGTAGGCTCTGGAGCGAAGCCGCGAGAAAAATCGGCTGGCATGTGATAGTTTGAACAGCTTATCTTGTGTAATTATTTTGCGATGCTAGGAGAAAAGAGATCTTTTAGGGTTCCCTGCTACAGTCTTGCTGTGTAATATAATTAGACAGGTATCTACAGAGCTTATCATCTGCATTGTCGGGTGCACCAACATCTCCACTCCCGCGCGGCCGCTGCGCCTGGACTCTACCCCTGTGCCGATAAAATCTCTTTGTAGGCTTTTATCATTCTGTGCCAAAGCACTGTAAAGGTCATGCAGAAGCATGATCTGCTGTGATATATGTAGCTTTATTGCCCAGACCTTGTTGTGTAACTTTCCCACTCCTATTTATGTTAGCATTCTACCACTGTCCCAATGGGCGGCGGGTCAGGATCCTCCAAAGGCCAGCCGCTTCTTCTCCAGGCGCGCGCGTGGGAGGTGATATTCACTTCGCGCTTACCTCGCACCTGAGTCGCACCTATCTCGCACATTCCTGC